GTATAGATGAAGTAACTCCCCGTTGGAAAGTGTTCTCATTCTCAGAGTTTAGAATGATGAGATCGTTTCTTGCTACAAACTCACATATAATAGCTCCTCTTCTGTCGGAGCGCATCTCCCCCATTCCGACGATTTACCATTGAAATCACCTGCTATCAAAAGATCTCCTTTCGTTGTTTTCAGACTTGCTTCCAATTCGTCGATGTATTTTTGAAATTTCTCTAATATATCGTTCGGAGAAAAGTAACAGCTATAAATTCTCATATTATTCACCTCAACCCCTACAAACCCATACTTCGTCGAAAAAAAGCGATTTTTCGTCACAAAAACTCATTGCCGGGCCCTAGAAAGGATTGGATAAATCCAGATGCTAAATAAAGAAAAAAATTCCTCTAACACGTTCTGCAGCCATAATCCATGTTTTGTGGGTCCTTGATACCGAAAACTCGAATGACTTAACGTCTCTCCGTCTCTCCGTTCATCCGTCCGTGTGTCTATCCGTCTATCAGTCTCTTCATCTGTCCGTCCGTCTATGCACGTTAGTGCATAAACCGTTCAGGCGATTTTCTCCAAAATTTATATTTTTTAATTGTTCTAGCTGACGTCGCGGTACTTTACATAAATCCCCTGTTACTTTTCTAAACTTTCAAAAAAATTTCCACACACAATTTTCTAAAAATCAGGGATTTAAACGAACAAGATACCTGCACCACTCTCTCACATTACCGCTATCGGAGGATAAAATTTAATAAAATAATGTGGAAACATTTATAAGAAAGTTGTGAAAATGTTTATGAAGCTTCATGTAATGTACCGTCAACAATTGAAATATACTTTCGAAACTCCCACAGCGGTTCGTTCAGATCAATCAGGTAATATCAATTTTGGAGAAAATCGCTGTCGATGACCAGAGATGGACATTTAACTCTCGGTTTTTAGCCCCTTAAATTAAGACGTTTTGCCGTCAATCAATTGCGAAGGACCTACAAAAAAATGATTCTGGCTTCACCGCGTTAGAGAAAGAAATTCACTATATGTAAGAAATTTATCTACTTTTTCGTTATCAGAACCCGACACTAAGACATTTTCTGTCGAAAATTTGCAGTTTTTTGGGGCACGATTGCAATTACATTCGTAAGTGCGAGAAAATAAATTATATCAAACCGTGGTTCTATGTGTTCTCAGCGTTCTTACCTTATATGTTTGTATATTACTTTCTCGTGTACATACACATGCGTGTAATTCATTATGTAGAGCTGGGGAAAATCGATATCCGTAGTTAATGGGAAATATACAGTTTTGGAGAATGTTCTCTATATATATTTCGTTCAAAGCATCCGTTCGTGCATCCGTCGATCCGTGAATAACACTCTCATATTGTAACATTGTCGCATCACTGCGTGTACCTAGTAAAGAGAATACTATAATGCTCAGGGGCAAATTTTCAAAAAACAAAAATTGGTAATGGAGGGCCTTTGTAACGAACAAAACGATAAATATTGCTCCTACATCTTAGGTGTAGCTTCCGTTACAAAAATACCTCAGTTTCAATGTTTCCGTTCATTAAGAATAGCAGATTCAGATTTTCGAAAAATATTGTCTACGAGAAAATTAAGTTTACATTTTATTTCCGAAATTCAGACCGGCTGCCGAATCACTGCAGACAGGCGCGACGTCTGCCAACGGGGCTGGGCGTAGCGATGTTTCTCCGTGTTTTCAGTGACACTGCCGAGTGAGACAAACATCGCTTGCCATACACTAGAGTACTTAAATAGTATCATGTTTCACGTATAAATTAGTAATTTACTCTATTAAATCTACTTAAAATGCATTTTTGTTCTAAATTATAACTACTGTATTCATAAGTGAAACATTGAAGGTTGAACACGAACCAAGGTTTATGGAAATTAACAAATTTCTGGAATGTTGGAATTTCATTTGCATATATCCAATGTGAACGAATTTCTTGTAATTTAGAGAGTCACACATTAATTAAAAATGAGTAATATTGATAAACTATTTTCATTAAAAAAAATTCAGAAAAATTCAAGGTATTATAGGTATTTTATTAAACCCCTAACACTTTGATAAAGTCTTTGGATGTAGAGTACATGTTGTCTTATATTAAGATTACAAATCAGTTACAAATAATACAGAAATTATACTCGTATGTGCTAAATATAAGATTATAGATTTAAGCAATACATAATTACTATATTAAGCAGTAATACTTCTTGAATTAACGATCACACAATTAATTCTAGAAATAGGTCATCAACTTCTATTAACTATTCCTATAATATATTAAACAGTGTTATTAACAAGTATTTATAAAAATAATATGGATGTATAGGAAAATACAAATGCGTGAACTCAATTGTTTGCACATTTTATCAGAAGGGTAATGCTCCGAATGTCTTGTTAGAATGAGAAATGTCAAAAGGAAGACAATGTGGTGCACGGCAATTACGCTAGCCAACCACAAATGCAGTTGGATGTACCCTAGAAGACAAATCAGTTCATGTGTATCGCTGCTTAGAAGCTGCGAAGACACAAGCAGTGGGTGCACTTCGTATAGCGAGGATGCACTACACAAAGTTAAACAGGAATCTTTGTCCGCTGAATTATTAAGCACAGCTACATTGAGGATGTGTTCGGCTGATAGAGCAGAGATTCATCATATGATCCTGTCTGAGTTCATATGTTTTCGAACTACCAAATAAACTTATATAACAAGTTCATTTGTGAACCATATGCCTACTTATGACCAGATGCAACAGGAAATGTTGCGAAAATAATTCGCCAAGTAGATTTATAAATACATTAATTTACGCATTTTTTATTTTTGTTTTCCATACTTTTTACAAACATCTTACACTTTTCCGTCTAACATTCTTCTCATATCGTCATGTATCTTCCATGTGTTCTCACACCCTGTTTACTGTTCCCGTTGCATTAACCCTTTAAAGGACATTTTTTGGGGTAAAAAATTAGAAAAAATAATTTAAAGATATTGCGTATAACTGATATAAGCATGTGTTATAGTTATAATTATTATATTTTCATTTTCTTTGGATATGAGCGGAAAAATAGTTTGTTCAAATATAGACCATTATCAGTTTTGGGTAGTTCTTGAACTACTGTGGATGGTAGTCATTTAAAAGACGATCTTCTTCTACCAGAAATAATAAAATGGAAAAATGTGATATTTTCAATGAAAAGATACAATACATTCTGGTATTCATTATAAGTTGAAAGCGGTCAACATATTAACTGAACATACAGCTTTAGTAAACATAACATCAGAACCTTCGTAACAAGCACACATATTAGATTCCCCAACAAATGTTGTAAGTTGAAGATAGAAAAAAGTGATAATTTAGCTAGAGGAGATTCTAAATTGGTATTAGGTAATATACTAAATAACTGAATCGCCTCCACACTCAGAATCAACATCTTGATTATCGGTTACCGACCAACACATAGACGAAAGGCGAACACGATACAAAATTTCAAATTTCCCGCCTGCACGTCCTGTTTCTGACGATTCCTGGAAATATCAATGTTTCATCCTCCTGAAAGTTGATCGCGCCTTTTTGGATTGTATGCAGGAAATCGCAAGGGCTCCGTGACTGATGTTTGCCATCGCGTTACTTGTGTGAAAGGGCTAACGGGAGCTTTGCGACTCCAAGAGACATGAGCGAGATAAAATGAAATATTGAAAATTGACAGACAGCCTGCAACAAATTGAGGAGAAATGGATATTGCCGTTAAGAGCGCGGAAATTAACCGAAAATCGCAAGGATGTACTATATACTCAAAGTTGTTCATTCAATAAAGCCAAGGGTCCAAATTCTGCCTCGCGACCCCGCTCAGGTTGATTTGTTGATAATTAATTAGCCAGACACTAAATATGGTTCAGTATATTGTGAACCACACGCATGTTATCAAGATATAACGTAATTATCACTCATTTATGTTTGATATGGACCTACGTTAATAAAAATGTAATAATAGTTTCCATAATAGTTTAATAATCCAGTTTCGCTAATATGCTCACGGATTTCTTGGAGTAATGAATTATTTCTCATTTAGATTCTGTAAAATTTCTGTATAATGTAGGCAACAGAACTGTTAATAAAGTGAATGTACACACCTTTGATATAATGAATTTAGAAACTATTTTGCATCGAGAAACGAACGAATCAGTTGTTTCGTAAATCTATAATAGATATTTCAGTCTTTAACTATAAGAGAGAGGAGTAATCTGTGATTAACACATAATGAATATTATTTTTAAAGAACCACCACGTACCACCCGTACCACAATAATCGTGATGTGATTTGCCTATTTCCCTACTTGAGCCATTAAACCTGGAATATGTGTGTAGAGTGAAACCTGGAAGTTATTGTTGCGTTAATCAATGTTCACTACAGCATAATATTGTTAAGTGTTGTAGGTTTTGTTCAAGTAATATTTCTGGGTCTGTGAGCTTGTTTCTTAAAGACTGAACATTTTGATGCAGTACATATAGATACTTGTTTTGGGGTGTTGTTGGGCTTTCCTGTTAAGCATAGTTGTTACAGGTCATAGGTGGGAGGTAGTGTACTACATTCAAAAGGGCGTTCCAGGATGGCAACTTAAATATTTCAATTTGAATTCCCACCTCCAGCTTATATATACTCTTTGCCTCCAGCTTGGAAAAGTCGCACGACTCACGTGCTTGGGTAAGAGTGACGTCGATGCTAGACTTGGCTGTCCACAGAGAGTATATATCCTTGGCTGTCCAAAACAGGGTAGGGAAACTTGGCGGTCAAAACGGGGTAATGATTTTTGCGCCATCTACAACAGTTTCGACGTGAGCCGAACTAAACGTGTGACGTCA